TTATATTATTAGCATAGCACAACCTGGGGATCACAACCAGATACAGTGAAGACATCTGCCCTTGCGCTGTGCTACTCTGCTGCTGAGTACGCATGCCCAGTGTGGAACACATCTCACCACACAAAAACAGTGGATGTGGCTCTTAATGAGACATGGCGCATTATCACGGGGTGTCTGCGCCCTACACCACTGGAGAAATTACACTGTTTAGCCCAGGGGTCCTCAAACTATGGTCCGGGGGCCGGATGCGGCCCTCCAAGGTCATTTACCCGGCCCTTGCTCAGGGTCAACCTAAGTCTGAAATGACTTCAAAGCACATAACAACAACAATCCTATCTCATCAGCCAAAAACCAGCCCACACTTTCCATTGAAATACTAATAAGTTTATATTTGTTAAAATTATTCTTCAATTTAATTATTGTATTGTTTTTAAGTAATTTTTTTTGCACTACGAATAAGATATCTGCAGTGTGCATAGGAATTCATTCATTTTTTTTCCAAATTATAATGCGGCCCTCCAACAGTTTGAGGGACTGTGACCTAGCCCTCTGTTTAAAAAGTTTGTGGACCCCTGTATTATATTATTAGCATAGCACAATATTCAACCAATAATGAAAGGACCAAGGCAGTGATATCTCCGGCCCACCCCCTGTTTGGGTATCAGACAGCACGCCAACGACTTAAATCAAGAAATAGTTTTCTAAGATCTACAGAGACACTCGCTGGAACACCCCAGCAAGCAAGAGTCCAAAAGTGGCAGGCTCAAATCCAGAACCTCAATCAATGGCTGATACCAAATGAGAGACTCCCTCCTGGGCACACAGAAGACTGGACAACTTGGAAGGTGCTGAACAGACTGCACTCTGGCACCACGAGATGCAGAGCCAACCTTCAGAAATGGGGCCACAAAGTGGAATCCACGACATGTGAGTGTGGAGAAGAAACCACAGACCACCTACTGCAATGCAACCTGCGCCCTGCCACATACACAATGGAGGACCTTCTTGTGGCAACACCAGAGGCACTCCAAGTGGCTAGATACTGGTCAAAGGACATTTAATAGAATACCAAGCCTGCAAACTTTGTGTTTTGTTTGTTTGATTGTTTTTAATGCAATATAACTGTTGTGGTTCACTCCTGACACGATAAATAGCATAATATTAGTATAATATATTACTATATTGTACTATACCTCAATATTATTACTAATGTTACATGTCATATATAATATATATATTATTATATTGTATTATTATTAGTATTATATTGTATATTTTAATGCAATATAACTGTTTTGGTTCGCTCCTGACACGATAAATAAATAGCATAATATTAGCATAATATATTACTATATTGTATTATACTGCAATATTATTACTAATGTTACATGTAATATATAATATAATTATATTGTATTATTATTATATTAGTATTATATTGTATTACAATATTATGATCAATATTATATGTACATACAATTCATTTTTATTGTTGTTATTGTTATGCATCCTTCCCCAACAACTGTATACACATCAATATTTTCCAATTCTGGATTCTACATCCCTCTCCAAAGGAATTTTAGCATTTTATAACCCCATATGATGATGATTGTGGTCGTTATTATCTTTTTTAAATACAGTTTTAACAGTTTCGAATTCTGAATGGTGATGGTGATTTTGCATGCTTTCTTCTATACAAATTAACATCTTGTAAATCTGGAAAATGATAATGATGATGATGATGATGACGATTATTATTATTATTACTATTATTATTATTATTATTATTATTATTATTATTATTAGCATCTCGCCCAAAATGTATACACCTTTAACACCTTAAGATTCTGTATTAGTATTATAATTATTTACATTTTCCCCTACAGCCTTTCATAATTGTAATTCTGAATCACATTAACAATATGAAATATACAAACATGCAAACTCTAAAACAGGATTAAATATAATCAGAATTCAAACAAATTCCCAGTTAAAAACCATCAAAACATATTCACGATATGATTTGCATCCCGACATATAGAATCATAGAATCATTGAATTGGAAGAGACCATCCAGTCCAACCCCATTCTGCCAAGAAGGAGGAATACCTATATATCCTTAACATAATTCATATATTTTATAATGTATTTTTGGCGTGTATTTTGTGTTTATGTTTTATATGTTAAGAGAGGCAAGTAACATATGCAATTATTATTGATTTTTTAAATTTTCCCCTCCTCCAAAATGTATAGACTCTTAAAACCACTTATTATTATTATATTTATTTATTGATACCCTGCTTTATCTCTCCTGCAGGCAATTCAAAGCGGCTTAACATAAAAGTATCAGTATACAATTTGAAATATACAAACATGCAAACTCTAAAACAGGATTAAATATAAACAGAATTCAAACCAATTCCCAGTTAAAAACCATCAAAACATATTCACGATTAAAAACATTTGATTCTGGATAATTAAGAGTTTTTAGCATGACAAAATGATGGACACACCCTTTAATAGTTCACAAATAATAATAATAATAGTTATTCCCCTCTCACCAAAAATCCCATAAACCCGACATAATTCTGGATTTCTTTGTTTTGAATCCCCCCCCAACACTTATACATTTCACTATTATTGTTATTAATTATTCTATTATTATTGTTGTTGTTGTTATTGCTATTTCCCACACAATGTACACATCTTTCACAAGATTAAAGGGTTAAAGAAGAGCTGGTAATTTTGAGTGAGGTCTGCAACAGGTCTCTGCTTCTTTAAATGGCTGCTCGGGGTGGGGGGGGGGACAACAACAATAAAAAAATAATAATTTATCATTCAATGCAAATGCATGGACAGCCTTCAAAACAATCATTATTGGCACTATTAGGTGCAGAGGGATGTGTATGTTATTGACTTGACAGCACACACAACAACAACAAACTGTTCATACATATATATAGGGCCCTAATCCTGCATACACACACACACACGCAGACACACACACAGAGAAAGGTATCTATATTCTGGCTTGGATGGCATATATAGCCCTGAAGACACACAACACACTGTTTACATATATAGAGAGCTCTGATCCTGAATATATATACACACACACATCCATATACTGCCTTTAAGCACACAACAGCACATCGTTGACATATACTGTATGCATATAGATATACACAGATATATAGGACCCTGATCCTGCATGCATACACACACACACACACACAAACTTTATATTGCCTTGAAGGCACACAACAACACACTGTTCACATATATATATAATTGTTCTTCATTTTAATTATTGTATTTTAAGTGGTTTTTTGCACTATAAATATGTGCAGTGTGCATAGGAATTCATTCATGTTTTTTCAAATTATAATCCGGCCCTCCAACAGTTTGAGGGAATGTGACCTGGCCCTCTGGTTAAAAAGTTTGAGGAACCCTGGGCTAAAATCTAACACAATTTAAAAACAATTTAAAACAATTTAAAAACAGCAATATCAAAGATCAAAGGCCTATATATATATATGGCCCTGATCCTACATAAATACATACACACACACACACATATCTATATATTGCCTTGAAGGCACACAACAACAACAACAATACACTCTTTACATATATTGTATGTTGTGTCTGGTCTGTTTTTGATAAGACCAACTGGCTAATCAATAACAATTGTTGTTGTTGCTTACATGTGTGTGTGTGTGTGTATGCATATATGTGTGTTTGTGTGTGTGGCCCTGATCCTACATAAATACATACACATACACACACGTATATCTATATATTGCCTTGAAGGCACACAACAACAACAATACACTCTTTACATATACTGTATGTTGTGTCTGAACTGTCTTTGATAAGGCCAACTGGCTAATCAATTAAAAAATGTTGTAGTTGTTTACATATATGCATGCATACACATACACACACACACACACATATATATGGCCCTGATCCTACATAAATACATACATACACACAAATATATATATATATATATATATATACACACACACACACACACACACACACACATCTATATATTGCCTTGAAGGCACACAACAACAACAACAACAACACACTCTTTACATATATTGTATGTTGTGTCTGAACTGCCTGTTTTTGAAAAGGCCAACTGGCTAATCAATAAAAATTGTTGTAGTTGTTTACATATATGCATATATATATATATGCCCTGATCCTACATAAATACACACACACACACACATATATATACACACACACACACAGAGACATATATATATATATATATATATGTGGCCCTGATCCTACATAAATACACACACACACACAYAYAYATATAYACACACACACACACASASASASAYATATATATATATACACACACACACACACATATCTATATATTGCCTTGAAGGCACATAACAACAACAACAACAACAAKACACTYTTTACATATATTGTAWGTTGTGTCTGGTCTGTTTTTGATAAGACCAACTGGCTAATCAATAAAAATTGTTGTTGTTGTTTACATATATGCATATATGGCCCTGATCCTACATCAATACATACACACACACACACATATATATATGCACACACATTATCTATATATTGCCTTGAAGGTACACAACAACACACTGTTTACACACACACACACACACACACATATATATAGGGCTCTGATCCTGCATACACATACACACACACACACCTGTCTCTAGATAGATTGATAGCTGGATAGATCCTTCTCTTTCCTGCCCACTCATTCAGGATTTCACTGATGGAATGTTGATGTTCAAGAATGTTCCATCCTCCCCCCCTCCCCCCCTTTCTGATGATTCCTTTTTTGTTTGTATTTAAAATCAATGGGACTTTTGCAAAACGGAAGTGCCAAAATGACTCATCTTCAGCCCAGAAGGGAAAGCAGATGGTCAGCTTGCAATGTCTCCTTCAAACCCCTCCACACCAGGAATATCAGAAGGGCTCCATGGCCTTACCGGATCCAGGGAGCGAGGGGCCTTCCATCCCTGCCCGCCTCTGCACGGCTTCCAAATGAAGCGGCTGCAAAAGGAGAAAATCCCCGGGCAAGAAGCAAAGCCCAGCACAGCCTCCACGTGCCGGGGAATCCCCGGGACGCCCAAGTCTCGCCTGTTACCGCGAGAGGAAGCCGCGGCGGCCATTTTGGGGAAGGGCAAAAGGGAGTTTGGCACTCAAGTGGATGCTTCACAACAACTTTGCCCACGCCTCCTTCACAGGCTCAGTCCTTGGAAGCATCACTACTATAGAATCCCGGGAGTTGTAGTTCTCCAAGGCTTTTATGTAGATTCATGGGAGTTGTAGTTTTTCAAGGTCCTGTAGTTTCACCAGGTCTTTGCATTGCCCTTTATGGAATCCTGGGAGTTGTAGTTTCACCAGGACTTTGCATTGCCCTCTATAGACTCCTGGGAACTGTACAAGTTCTTTGCATTGCCCTCTATGGAATCCTAGGAGCTGTAGTTTCACCAGGCTTTTGCATTGTCCACAATGGAATCCTAGGAGTTGTAGTTTCACCAGGAGTTTGCATTGCCCTCTATGGAATCCTGGGAGTTGTAGTTTCACCACGACTTTGCATTGCCCTCTATGGAATCCTGGGAATTGTAGTTTCAACATTTTTTTTTAATTTTTCTCTTTATAGAATTCTGGGAGTCAAACCAGGTTTTTCTGTTGCTCTATTCAATAATGGGAGTTGTAGTTTCACCAGATCTTTATATTTCTCCCTCAAGACCCTAGAGGGAGAAATATAATGATCTGGTGAAAGTACAACTCCCAGGACTCTATAGAGAGCCATATAAAGAACTGGTGGAACTATAACTCTCGAGATTCCCTAGACTCTATAGAGTACTGGGAGTTGTAGTTTCACCAGTTCTTTGCATTGCCCTCTATGGAATCCTGGGAGTTGTAGTTTCACCAGTTCTTTGCATTGCCCTCTATGGAATCCTGGGAGTTGTAGTTTCACCAGATCTTTAGACTGCTTTATAGAATGCTGGATGTTGTAGTTTCACCAGGTCTTTGCATTGCCCTCTATGGAATCCTGGGAGATGTAGTTTCACCAGCTCACTATAGAATCCAGGGAGCTGTACAAGTTCTTTCTATTGTCCTATTGAATGCTGGGGGTTGTAGTTTCACCAGGACTTTATACTGCTCTCTATATAATCCACAAGGTTTTTAGATGGCTCAAGAGAATGCTGGGAGTTGTAGTTTCATCAGGTGATTCTATTGCTCTCTATAGAATCCTGGTAGTTTCACAGGATCTTTAGACTGCTCTGGCAAATCCTGGAAGTCGTAGTTTCACAAAGTCTTTATATTGCTCTCTATAGAATCCTTGGAGTTGTAGTTTCACAAGGTCTTTAGACTGCTCTGGAGAATCCTGGGAGTTGTGGTTTCTCCAGGTCTTTACATCGCTGCCTACAATCATGGGATACCACTTTAATTGCCATGGCTCCTTCTATGGAAGCCTGGGATTTGTATTTTCACAATCCTTCTTTTCCCAAGAGTGCTGGAGAATCCTCACCAAACTATAACTCCCAGGATTGTGTAGCATTGTGCCATGGCAGTTAAAGTGGGATCAAACTGCACTCTAATCTACGTGTGAAGCATCCCAACGCAAGGCTTAACGGGCCATTTTCACTTCATCTCTTGGGGCTTTTTACTTCCTTCTCAGCTCATTGCCCACAGAACAAACACAACCTGCAGAAGGTGAGGTTTGGGCAAAAAGGTGTGTTGCAACCTGCCTCAGGAATGTAATTGCCTTCTTTGGAGCATCATGTGAAAGCCATATTTCACCCACTCAACCAACCCTGCAGCGATGATTTTGTACAAGGAAGTAGCTTTGAATGACTCACCTGGTCAGCCAGGTAAATGCAAGGCACTCCCATTCTGATGCATTGAAAAGCCCCTTTTGGGCTGTTACTATGGATCAAAAACAAGGAAAAGGGAGGAGGAGAGGAAGGGGAGAATGGAGAAGAGAAAGGAGAAGAAGGGAGAGAGAAGAAGGAGAACAAGAGAAGGGAGAAGGAGAAGAAGGGAAATAAAGTGAAAGGGAAAGAAGTGATATTGGTTAGAGAGTCATCGAACTTAAGAAGGGAGAGAGAAGAAGGAGAACAAGAGAAGGGAGAAGGAGAAGAAAGGGAGGGAGAAGAAGGGGAGAGGAAGAAGTCTGGGAAAGAAGAAGAAAAGGGAGAGAAGGAGGAGAAGGAGGAGAAGGAGGAAAGAAAGAAGTAGAGGAAGAGGAGAATGAAGGAGAAGAGAAAGGAGAAGAAGGGAGAGAGAAGAAGGAGAACAAGAGAAGGGAGAAGGAGAAGAAAGGGAGGGAGAAGAAGGGGAGAGGAAGAAGTCTGGGAAAGAAGAAGAAAAGGGAGAGAAGGAGGAGAAGGAGGAGAAGGAGGAAAGAAAGAAGTAGAGGAAGAGGAGAATGAAGGAGAAGAGAAAGGAGAAGAAGGGAGAGAGAAGAAGGGGAGCAAGAGGAGGGAGAAGGAGAAGAAGGGGAGAGGAAGAAGTCAGGAAAAGAAGAGGAAAAGGGAGACAAAGGGAAGAGAAGGAGAAGTAGGAGAAGGAGGAAAGAAAGGAGTAGAGGAAGAGGAGGAAGGAGAAGAGAAGGGAGAGGAAGGGAGAGAGAAGAAGAGGAGCAAGAGGAGGGAGAAGGAGAAGAAAGGGAGGGAGAAGAAGGGGAGAGGAAGAAGTCTGGAAAAGAAGAAGAAAAGGGAGACAAAGGCAGAGAGAAGGAGGAGAAGGAGGAAAGAAAGGAATAGAGGAAGGAGAAGGAAAGGAAGAGGAGAAAGATGGAGGAGGAGATAGATAAGAAAAAGGTGAACAAGGGGGATTGGAGGAGAGGAAGAGGAGGAAGAAGGAGAGGAAGAGAAGAAGGGGAGAGGAAGAAGGCTGGGAAGGAAGGAAGAAGAAAAGGGAGACAAGGGAGAGAAGTAGGAAAGAAAGGAGTAGAGGAAGAGGAGGAAGGAGAAGGAAAAGCAGAGGAAAAGATGGAGAAGGAGGAGACAGATAAGAAAAAGAGCAAGGGATTGGAGGAGAGGAAGAGGAGGAAGAAGGAGTGGAAGAGAAGGGGAGAGGAAGGAGGATTATAATTAGGGTAGCATGTTAGCCTATAAGGATTATAAGGAGTAAGAGTAAAAAATAAAGAAGTAGATGAAGATAATTAAAGTGTAGATTATAAATGGTTGTGGATAGGAGATAATAAAAGTTACCGATGTGGAGTTGTGAAAGGATGATTTATAGAGGAGAAAGAAGGAGAGGAAGAGAAGAAGTATAGAGGAAGAAGCCTGAGAAGGAAGAAGAAGGGGAGACAAGGGGATGAGGAGAAGGAGGAAACAAAGAGGAGTAAGAAGGAGGAGAAGGGGAGAGGAGAAGGAGAGGAAGAGGAGAAAAGAGAAGAAGGGGAGAGGAAGAAGGCTGAGAGGGAAGGAAGAAGAAAAAGAGGGAGACAAAGGAGTAGAAGAAGAAGGAGAAGTTAAAGAAGAGGAGAAAGGAAGAGAGGAGGAGGACGAGTAAGAAGAAAGAGGAGAGAAGGAGAGAAAGAAAGAAGAAGGAGAAGAAGGAAAAAGAAAGAAAATGGAGTGGAAGAAGGTGAAGAGAAAAACGAGGAGGAAGAGGATGATAATAATAATAATAATAATAATAATAATAATAATAATAATAATCACAATTACATTACCAGCTTCTTGCATTTCAAGGCAGGGTACAAAAAAGGCAGTGCAACCCTTCCATCATATACTCATGGTGCGTCTACACTGCAAAATTAACACAGTTTGATCCCACTTTTGAACTGCCATGGAGTCTTGGGATCTGTAGTTTGGCGGGGCACAAGAACTCTTTAGAAGGCTGGGAACCTTGTAAAACAAACCCTAGGATTCCATAGTATTGAGCCATGGTGGTTCAAGCAATACCAAACTGCATTAATTCTGCAGTATAGATCGACTTAGAGCAGTGTTTCTCAACCTGGGGGTCGGGACCCCTGAGGGGGTCGCAAGGGGGTGTCAGAGGGGTCACTGAAGAGCATCAGAAAACATAGTATTTTCTGTTGGTCATGGGGGTTCTGTGTGGGAAGTTTGGCCCAATTCCATCATTGATGGGGTTCAGAATGCTCTGTGATTGTAGGTGAACTATAAATCCCAGCAACTACAACTCCCAAATGTCAAGGTCTATTTTCCCCAAACTCCACCAGTGTTCACATTTGGGCATATTGAGTATTTGCCAAGTTTGGTCCAGATCCATCACAGTCCACTGTGCTCTCTGGATGTAGGTGAACTACAACTCCCAAACTCAAGGTCAATGCCCACCAGACCTTTCCAGTATTTTCTGTTAAGACGAGGAAGTTGTGTGCGCCAAGTTTAGCTCAATTCCATCATTGGTGGAGTTCAGAATTCTCTTTGACTGTAGGTGAACTATAAATCCCAGCAACTATATCAACTAAATGACAAAATCAACCCTCCCCCAACCACTTCAGCATTCAAATGTCGGTGTATCAGATGTTGTTGTTCATTCGTTCAGTCGTTTCCGACTCTTCGTGACCTCATGGACCAGCCCACGCCAGAGCTCCCTGTTGGCCGTCACCACCCCCAGCTCCTTCCAGGTCAGTCCAGTCACTTCAAGGATGCCATCCATCCATCTTGCCCTTGGTCGGCCCCTCTTCCTTTTACCTTCCACTTTCCCCAGCATCATTGTCTTCTCTAGGGTGTATCAGATATTTGTGCCAAATTTGTTCCAGTGAATGAAAATACATCCTGTACACCAGATATTTACATTACAATTTAAAAAAGGAGCAAAATTAGTTATGAAGTAGTAACGAAAATAATGTTATGGTTGGGGGTCACCACGACATGAGGAACTGTATTAAAGGGTCACGGCATCAGGAAGGTTGAGAAGCACTGACTTAGAGTTTATGATGTATCCAGCCACAAAGTGGCGCCACACCCAAACTCATCCAGAGGTGTTTTTGCACAGGTAACAAATTGATCCTAGCATGACTTTACCTGCATTATAATAGTTTCTTATGAGATGCATAAAGAATAATAATATCCAGTATGTATGCCTAAGAGAAGGCTGAAGGCCACGTAAAACTGCAACTCCCAGGGTGACGTAGCATTCAGCCACAAATCAGGCATGG